TACATAAAATATTATCTGTAATTTGCCTATTATGAATGAATGCTGATTAGGGCCCTTTAATGACCAAAGGGAGTATTAATTTTTGTCTTTTAGCTAGACATTTTGCTAAAATCTTATATAGGCTAGTCAATAAAGTAATAGGTCTAATATCCTGTAGCTTTTCAATCATACCTTTCTTTGGGATCAAGGCAATAAACGTTGAATTTAGACTAATATTGACAAAACCATTATGATAGAATTCCACAATCATCTCTATAACCTCATCCTTCATCAAATCCCAATAGTGCTGAAAGAAACCCACTAAAAATTCATCTGGGCCCGGTGCCCTTTTCCCTGCCAAACTAAAAACAACTTCTTTAATTTCAATTTCAGAAAAGGGTCTCTCAATCCACTTACCTTTATCATCCAGCACTTTCATAAACACATTACAAAGGTTTGTAATAGGTGTATACCTAGTAGTAAAGGCCCCATTGAAATGCTCAATAATAGCCTTTTCCAAACCGTTTTCATCGCCTTTGGTTATCCCTTCTATTTTAAGATCTTGTAAATTATTAACATGTTTCCTTTCATTTGCAGTTGAATGGAAAAAACATGTATTCATGTCACCTTCTTTCAACCACCTAACTCTTGATCCTTGTCTCCAGTAAATTTCTTCTACTTTCAAAACATCACACAGCTGTCTATTTAACTCATTTCTAAAAGCAATGTCATCCAACTCAATAGTTTCTGATTCCCATTATCCCTAATTTTGGACATGATCTCCTCAATATTCTCTTTTTAGTTAGTAACATTTCTTTAACTCTAATCCACCAACTTCTTTTTTATTCCCTGAATCTTTTTGGTTGCAACAAAAACCAGACCATCCCTGAACATCATTTCTCTTCCAAACTTCAGAAATTAGGCCATTCATTGATTTGTCTTTCATCCATGCCATCTCAAATTTAAAATACGCCCCACCTGTTCTTTTACATTCACTTTCCCAAAGTAAAGAAACATGATCATAAGAGCATTTAGGTAATGCTGTAACAGATCCCATTCGAAATAACTCAGCCCACACTAAACATATAAGGAATCTATCTAATCTAGTCATAATAGGATTGGCAACACACCCATTGACCAATTAAATCTAGCACCATTTGCAAGTAAATGAAACATAGCAAAATTTGAAATAAAATCCGAAAAACCTTTCATACAAGAAGTAAAATGGTGATTAATACTCGATTCATTAGGCCATCTGATAATTTTGAAAGTCCCCACCAATTACGCAAGGTAATTTAAACAGATTCCATACATAGCCAAGTTCATGCCACATATCAGATCTGAAACTAGTAGAGTTTTGACCATAAAAGTTAGAGATCAAAAAACAAACATCAGTAGGAATAAACAAGAAGACGCAAGATAGAGACCAGGAAGTAGCAAAAGATCATTCACAACAAAACACAGAGGGAACCCAAATTGCTCATGAACCCCCTGATTAACCCATAGCATCCTTACAATAAAACATAATAGGCCTAAAACCCCAAATAGATTTAACTTCCATCAAACTAGGATTAGAGATCTTAGTTTCTTGAAAAAAAATCAAATCAAGGCAATCTTTCTTAACCATTGGAAAAAGCCCTGATTTATTTTTCTTGCTACAAGACCTTTAACATTCCAACTTAAGATTCTAATCATTTGGAAGTTCTTAAATCCTAACAACATCCGTATGTAAAGCTATGCCTTCAAGATGTTTTAGGTCTAATTTGCTTCTTTGAAATCACAAATTCCAGTAAGGTTAGGGCTGCACAGAGTTTTGTGTGGCTACAAGACACTCCCAAGGCCACACAGATGACATTAGGCTACAATTGCATGGTACGTTGCATGGCCACACATGGGCACCTATGCGGATATGGCCCACATGCAAAAAGCCATGTATGGTTCTCACATGCAGGTTATGCCACAGGTCTGGTGAACTTACACATGTCAAATCACACATATGATCTACACAGGTCAGGGCAAATGTGAACACATGTGGCGATATACTTTTTTTTATTTTTTGCAATTTTTTAAAGGATGCGGTTTTTATGCGGCCATGCCCACATATATAGAAATTCGAGCCCCTTAATAAATCTATTTTAGAGGTAGATTTAAAGACTTAATTTTTAGAGACATGTAATCTCTAAAAGGAGATCCTGAATATGAAAAACTAAAACAATTTTAAAAACTAAAAATAATAAATCTAGTAATAAAATATTTTTACCAATTTCCATTGTATTTAAATGGAACACTTACTTGTATGGATGCTTTACACCTTCTGTAGTGCACATGAAACAATTTTTCTTTTTTAAATGCACTAAACGACTATGCCATATGGTGTGGTGCGACCACCTCCTGAAAGTGTTCCCCGAGACTACAGTATAGCTTTGCTTTACCCAGACCACCTGGGCACTATGTATAAGAAAGATCACCTATGGGTAGTAGTCGCATGGGACCACCTACTTGCAGTAATATCACATTTAGCTTTGGAACGCTTACGGTGCTGGACGACTAGCAAGTTCACCTCCAATGCACCGTGTGGACTACCATGATAGACCAGGTAGTCTAAGATGGATCCCTGGCAAAGCCCATTTTGCGTGTGCTCAGCATGCATATGTATGCCCCAACTCTGACAACGACCACACAGTGCCCTCAGGGGCTAGTTTTGCCAAAGCGCTTAGAAAAAAAAAAGCTGAAAGACTTCAAAAAGAAGGCTTTTTTGTATTTGTATACGGGTCACACGTACTATCAAATTAGAAGGCAAATTAAAAAAAAAAAAAATCTTCATATCTCCCATTTTTAAGTTTTCTATCTCAATATACCCAATATTTCAAAACATATCTTGAGTCTTAAAAATACTAAGTTTTATATCTTTTAACCCCCTAAACTAACTTGATCTCCTTTAAACCTATTTTTTTCCCCAACCAAATATAAGAAAGATATATCCTTTCTAGACATATATATATTATGGTAAAAGTTTATATAGAGCCTAGGCTCTGAGCAATCAAATTAGAGCCTACCTCAAAACTTCCACCAGAAGAAGTTTGTTTTGATACCCAAGTATCAACAAATTCATTATCTCATCATCAAGATGTATGGACATGTGAAAAAAAATGGATTTCAAGTTTGGGAAATAGTGCATCTTGTAACTCATTTTTGGACCTTGAATTTTCAATATTTTCAAGGTTTCATAGATCTACTGGATCTACACTATATTTTAAGCTTTAAATTTTATAACTGATGATGAAAATATAACTTAGGGCTATCACAACTTTCCAGTATTGAATCCATATTTTTTTACACTATTTGAAGGTGGGCTCTAATTTGATTGTTTAGAGCCTCAGCTCTATACAAACAGCACCCTATATATATAGGAAGCATCTATGCAACGTCTACATCCAAAGTGCTATAGTGATTGCGCCCATAGGCCAATCGCCATCCGAAAAAATCAGACGCATGTGTTTTTGACCGCCACGGACCTAGCATGTCCGTGGAGGGTACCGTCACGAACATACTAGGTGCGTGACGGTCCAAAAATTTACGCGAAACCGCAAAAGATGGCACCATTCATTGTGAGTCCATTCAATAAACCGCCATGGACATAGCAAGTCTATTACGGAGGTGAAACACTGTAGCATTTTGCCTGTAAGAGTTTTTTAGGTTTTTCCATATATAGAGATACTAGGCTCGTGGAGGTCTAAAAATTTATGCAGAACCACAACGGACAGTGCTATCCATTGTAGCTCCGTTCAATAAACCGCTACGGACATAGCAAGTCCGTGACGGAGGCAAAACATTATAACATTTCTCTGATAGGAGTTTTTCAGGTTTTTTCATATACATATACATATATAATGATCTTATGAGACCCTCCCATACCCATATGTATAGGACCCCAAAGGATCATCATTAAATTTGGCACAGATCTCTAGAAAAATTATCACATGGGTATGGGAGGGTCTCACAAGGTCATTTCCATATATATATATATATATAATATGTTCGGAGCCCATGGGCTCATAAAACAGTGTAAGCCCAACGGCTCAGATTGAATCTAGACCAATTTGATAGTCAGGATTTTATATCGGTAATATAATTTTAATATTTTTTAAATAAATCCAAATAGCATGAAATTTGGTTCATAAATGCTTCTCATCAAGGCACACCAAATAAAAACATTAAAAAAAATTAATTCTCATAAAATAAATTGACCAAAATACCCCCGAAATGTTTCAAAGATATTTTGGTCAATTTAATTTATGCGAATTATGGTTTTAATATTTTTATTAGATTTGACTATTCTTGAAGAAGAGACGCTCCAAATATTAAGTAATTTGGATTTGTCAAAAAAACAAAAATCAATTACAAAATAAAATTGTGATCATTGGATCGATCCAAAGTCAATTTGGATCGTTGGGCTTACACTGTTCCATGAGCTCATGGGCTGACAAGAGCTTTTTCCTATATATATATATATAGATACAGTGGAAAAAGTTGGGATTAGCCCACTAGCTCATATGAACGTATGAGGCCAATGGCCCAGATTAAATTTGGGTCAATCTGATGGTCATGACCTCATTTCGTGTTTGAATTTTAACTTTTTATCTACAAATCCAAATCACTTGAAATTTTGACGTGTGTTCTTCTCATCAAGGCATACCTAATAAAAATATAAAAAAATTTATTCGTGAAAAAAAAAATAATCAAATTACCCCCAAAATGTTTCGGGGGTATTTTGTTCAATTTATTTCATGTAAAATATTTTTTGATATTTTTTGAAGATTCAACAATTTTTTATGAACACACTTTTAAAATTTCAAATGATTTATATTTCCACCAATAAATAGAACATACGGTATTTTAGAAAATAATTTATTGTCAATATGTAAATCACTCAATTATTAATTTTCTTAGAACCCATAAATTTGACTTTCTATTCAAATTTACAAGTGTAAATAGAGAGATATACAGAGACAACATTAAACCTGGATAATATGAACTCCCATGGATTCAAAATCGTGGATGACTTGAATCTTGGAAGAAGAATCGGAGGCCTTAGTAGAAGGTCGACTGTAGACATAGGTTGGATGACCCCATGAAATACTCGCCTTTACCATGAATTTACCAAGATAACCAGGTCCACCAATTATCAATATCATGCTCTTCCAACTCATTGTGCACTTCTTTCTCCTCCTCTCTCCCACCCCCAGAAAATGATATGACAGGAGTGTATGGAAGGCAGAGAGCTCATGGGATTTATAGGTGCGCGAATAATTGAGTGGGAGAGGATGCATCCTCAGGGAACAGTAATATCGTCCACAGGTCTAGCAAACGTCAGTGAGGCTCCTTAGATAATGAAAGGGACTGACGCAACTGAAAAAGTATAATGAGGGGACTTGAAATCTCCACCACGGAAGAGAAACACAGAAAGAGAAGAAATTTCTGTAGTTCTTTGTACGTTAAACTACTTTTTCATTCATCATATACTACCCAATACAATATACGTCCATCCCATTAATACTACCTTCGAAAAAACTTTCTAAATCTTTTCCTTCTGAAAGGTGTGACATACGCTTTCCTTTAGTAAAAGGACAACTTCACATCCAACACAATGTACCTCCACCCCTTTAATGCTACGCTCCAAAGGACTTTCTAAATCTTTCCCTTCTTAAAGGATTTCTTTATTAAAAAATGACATACACTTTCTCTAAAAAGGTAACTTCCTACCCACCTTAATCTTAATGTTCATCCCGTTAACGGTATATTCCAAAAAACTTTCTAAACCTTTCCCTTCCTAAAAGACTTGCTTACCAAAAAATGACATACACTTTCTTTCTCTAAAAAAGTAACTTCCTACCCACCTTAATCTTAAAAGGCAATCATTTCTAGTCATTTTATCATTCCTAAACAAAAGAGAATCACACGGAGAGGCGAAGTTTCAATCCCTCTCTACGCGTTAAACTACTTTCTTTCATTCATCAAATACAACCCAATACAATAGACATTAATTTGTTTAATACTTCTTTCCAAAAGTATTTCTAAACCTTTTCCTTTCTAAAATATTTTTCTACTAAGAAATTTCATGTACTTTCCTTCTTTAAAAAGATTACTTCCTACCAACCTTAATCCTAAAAGGCAAACTTTTCCATTCATCTTATTATTCCTAAAAGAGAAGGTTAACAATAATGGAACTTTATAATCTCCAAACAAAATCCACTAAAAAAAATAGAGATTGACCAAAAAAAGGAAATAAAAAAAATAGAAAAACCACCATAATTTCTTACAACCACATTTTCTCACAAATTCTTCTTCTTTCAGCCTGGATTTGCTCGCTCCAAATATAGCGATCAACTCGAACCTATGAAAATCAAAATAAAAAATTAAATAAGTTTTTTAATTCTACATAACTTCATTTGAATCAAGGGCTAAGAGAAAAGTAGTAGCCTCAACTTTGCATCCATTGACTATAAGAACAATTATAAATAGGCATGCGTAACCCACTCATATAAAATGTTAAGGGAAAATTACAAAAAAAACTTAAGATTACACATTCTATGAAACTTACCCCAACCTAACTTTTTCTTTCACTTTTTTTTTCCTAAAACACACTTTCTATGCAAATGCCCCCAACCAAAATAAAAAATAAAAAAAATACCTAAACTACCGTCCCTTACTTTTACCTTACCCACGCTTCTCTCCTCTATCCCACCAAAATAGGGTCTCCGGCGCTGTGTAACTGTGGTTTGGCAGTAGGGCTCCGGCACTATGTAAAGTGTGGTCCGACAGTAGAGCTCCGACACTGTTTAAAGTGCGGTCTGGCAGTAGGTCTTCGACACCATGTAAAATGCGGTCCCGCAGTTGTAAAGGGCGGTCTGGCAGTAGATGTTATTAGATTCCAGGACTCCAGAACTATGTAGCGGGCGATCCGGTAGTACATAGTTTTCGTCCTGTAATTGTCTTAGGGCGGTCCGGCTATTGGGGTCCACAAGTCAACGTCAGATCTGGAAAAAATGATTTTTGTGTACGAGAAGAGCATTTCCGTCTAAAAAAAATGAACTTTTTCCATTGGGGGGTACTTACATAGAAAGTTTGTTTCGGAGAAAAAAATGAGAGAAAAAGATAGGTTGGGGGTAAATTGCATAGAAAGTGTAGTTTTGGGGTTCTTGTGTAATTTTTTCAAGTATCAATACTTTGGACAAGGTTCGTACAAAAACTATTGTAAGTCAAATAATTCTATCATATAATATCTTATGGTTTTGCAAATAAATTATAATAGTGTTGTGGTGGAATTTGCGACCCGGTGTTTGAAAAATCGAACCGGCCTAAAAAACAGCCCAAGGGCCGAATTCGAGTAATCGATAAATCGACAAGGTCCCAGCCAATCTCAACAGTATTAAAAAATATATAAAAATATCCTAAAAAAACTGAAAGGTATACTTAAAGTATGAATAAATAAAGGATATCCAAATGGATTTTAAAAAATTATTTTCAAAAATTTTCAAATAAGATACAAAAATGTAAAAAAATTGGTATTCATGACCAAAACACTTTCCAATCTTTGCCAAAATGATAAAAAACCATTAAAAAACACATTACAAACGACTCCTTTATTTTTTGGCATTTCATAAGTTTTTTACAAAAAAAATTTTGAAGTACCCGGTTAGACAACGAAAAATGGCCAAAACCATATCAGCTAGTGCCCAGTTCCGAGTCGGACAGGCCGAGTTTGTGAACACTAGTGCGGACCTCTTAAGCAAGAGTTGCAAGTTTAAATCTAGTACTCGTTGATATATTTCACCGTTATAATTCAAAATGGCAGCATGGTAGAACTTGGCCTCCATGTTCAGGAGCTCAAAGGTTTCAGTTCTGGTTTAGGCCCGTGCTAGCCCGGCCCGTTACCAGCACAAGAGTTTACAGGACCACTCAGTGTGGGAGGAACACTATGACCAATAAGACAAATGCCTTATATAGTCGAGTTATGATCAGCAAAACTAACATAATGCATGGACATTATGGACATGGAAATATGACCCGTGTTCAAGAGGCATTGCTGACAGGCCAAATTGGTGGACAAGTATGCTTACTATGACCCGTGTTCAAGAGGCATTGCTGACAGGCCAAGTTGGTGGACAAGTATGCTTACTAGTGGTAGTTATGTATGGGTTTAAAATCACGCAATTTGCACATCCGTGGGTTATGTGAAAGGCATTGGCCATGTGAGGTGGGCGTTAGGTGGCCGTATAATCTCTGGTTATATCCTTTTTTTTTTTAACATCATTTGTAATAATTCTTGGGTGAATGAAAGGGCCCTTAGGATCCATGGAAAAATCGATTTCTATTGAAATATATTTCGAGAAAAGTATTTCTCAGGAAATAGGTTTCGGCTACTTGCATGCTATATGGATGGAAAACATTTTCATGTTGGTGGAACACGTATATATCTGTTATAGCTTTCGTTATTACCAAAATATTAAATAGTTTATGTTATTATTGGAATGTCCGTTTTTTTCATTTTATAATAAAAATTTTTAAAAAAAATATTTTTTTTACTTTCTTTCGGTTTTTGAACAATTGAAATGGCTAGATTTTCGGTTGTTCAAAAACCGAAAATAAGCTAATTTCGATTATTGAAAAACCGAAAATAGTGGGACTTGTTTACTGGAATACGCAGTCCTATTTTTTGTTGTTCAACAACTGAAAATATAACATTTTCAGTTGTGAACAACCAAAAATATAATATTTTGTTGTTCAACAACTGAAAGTATGACATTTTCGGATGTTGAACAATAAAAAATATCTTATTTTTGGTTGTTGAACAACCGAAATCAAGATATTTTCAAATGTTGAACAATCGAAAATAGGACTGCATATTCCAACAAGATTTTGGAATGCGCAATCTTATTTTCGGTTGTTCAACAACCGGAACAACCAAAAACAAGACATTTTCGGTTGTTCAACAACCAAAAATAAGAATGTAAATTCCAAGCTTCTGCCTATTTTCAGTTGTTCAAAAGCCAAAAAAGGGTAAAAAAATCTTTTTTAAAAAAATTTATTATGAAGTGAAAAAAACGGACATTCCAATAGTAATGGAAACTATTTGGTATTTAAGTAATAACGGAAACTACAACGGATATATACATAATTTTCCCTTCTTTTTAAAATTTTTTTAATTAAATATTTTTAGTGTATTATTGAATATAATGTCTTTTTTTTTCTTTTTTTCTTTTTAATTTGACAGAGTTTCTCTCAAAATAGTTGTGATAATTTCTCTCTAAAAGATTTCAAGTAGTTTCTATCTCTAAAATTTTTATATAGTTTCTCACTAAAAATGATTGAGTACTTTTTCTCCCTAAAACTTAAAATTCAAAATAGTTTCTCTCTCTAAAAGTTTTGGGTACTCTCTCCCTCAAATTTGATATACTTTATCTCTTTGACATTTTAAGATACTTTTCTTTCTAAAACTTAAATATGAGATAGCTTCTCTCTCTAAAAATTTTGATATAGTTTCTCTCTCTAAGAAATTTAAGATAATCTCTTTTTAAACAAAAAATTTGATATAGTTTCTCTCTCTAAAAATTAAAGATAGTTTCTCTCTCTAAATCTTTTTGAATACTTTCTCTCTTTGAAACTTAAAATTGAGATAGTTTCTCTCTTTAAAAAATTTTATATAGTTTCTCTCTCTAAAAATTTTGAGGTATTTTCTCTCACTAAATGTTTTTGAAGTACTTGCTCTATGTAAAACTTAAAAATTAGAGATAGTTTCTCTCTCTAAAATATTTGAGATATTTTCTCTCTCTAAAAATTTTCAAGTACATGCTCGTTCTAAAACTTAAAATTTGAGATAGTTTATCCCTCTAAAATTTGATAAATTTGAGATTCTCCATCTAAAAGTAGATAAATTTGAGATAGTTTCTTTCTCAAAAATTTGATATAGTTTCTCTCTCTAAAACATAAAATTCAAGATAGTTTCTTTTTCTAAAATTTTTGAGATAATTTCTCTCTCTAAAAAATTTGAGATAGTTTCTCTCTTTATAAAACTTCAAATTTGAGAAAAATTTCAAGTACTTTCTGTCCTTAAAACTTAAATTTGATAGTCTTTCTCTCTAAAAATTTTGAGATAGTTTCTTTCTCTAAAACATTTTTAGATACTTCTCTATCTAAAATCGGATATAATTTCTCTCTAAAATTTTAAGATATTTTCTTTTAAAACTTAAAATTTGTAATAGTTACTCTCTATGAAATTTTTTAGATAATCTCTCTCTTTAAAATTTCGATAGTTTCCTTCTCTAAAATTAGAAATCATGTCTCTCTCTAAAATTTTAAGATAGTTTCTGTCTTTAATTCGTGGCAGTGTTTTTGTGGAATTAATTATATTTTATAAAGTGGATGCCTCTATAACGGGAAAATCTAGCTGGAAATTAATTTTAGATGATAA